AGCAGATTTAAATACGAATATTTTTGTTATTCCGTTATTTTTTCGATTCTTTAACAATCATGAGAAGCATTGTCCTTATTTTAGGCATTATTACACAGTTTCGATTTCAAATGGAAATCAGACCAACACTTGATTTCGAACAGCACTGGAAAATAGTAACTGTGGAATTTAATTTGAAAAATCTCTCACTGTGCGCGCAATAAAAGCGAACAATAAAGCGTGTACTCTTCAAAGGCAAGGCAAATGCTCCTATAATACATTCTACGATGGACTAAAACGAACCGAAAAAGAATTACACGTTCATCTGAAAAAATAAATAATTAATCGTTGAAGAAATTAGTACCGTTTTGCGTTTGAAGATTATGTATATACTCGTCGGACGCAGTTAACTGGTTAAAAGATCAAAGTACAAATGTATTGTAGCATTGGATTGAAGAATCATTGTCTACGTAAACTACTGTTTCTTCAGTTGCTTTCCTATTCTTTCAAACACTTAATTCCACCGTTGTAAATGTTTCTATAACCTATTGATAATTTAGACTTTTTGAGATTCTTCAAAGTTACCTTCAATTCTACAAAGTGGAGAAACACGCTAATTTAATTATTGAAGAAGCTAAAGGAAGTGAGAATGGGGAACCCTAAAATTCATATTTTCAAGTTTTACAACATATTATTATACTGGCGGACATGTTTTGCTATAAGCGCAGCCTCCATGCTCTTTCTTCGGACGCCAATTACACTAAGTAGCATACATACTTGTCAGATTCAACACCCACGGAAGAGGTAACGAGCTTCCCACATAGAAATACTCAAATATCGCTCAATATACAGGGTGGACCATGAAGCATGATCAGTTCAGACTATTCCGCTGCTAGCGATTCGATCGGAAATCTTATTAGCTAAAATAACATGGTTCAAGAGCAGCTTTAAGATTTCACTCTTCACATTGAACATAATAACACTCTAACCAAGATACTTTAAGTGTGCAGAGTTCCTGAGACACGCTGCATGTTGTAATATAATACCAATATGATATATATTGAAAGTATAGTATACTAAAGAACAATAGAAACGTTTATGGTAGCGAAAATAAATAGAGTACCCTGTAACTACGAGAGTATGATAGCAGTTAATGACATGTAAAGCAGTTTCATTAAGTTCGTCCTCGACGAACAGAAAAGCATGCACGATTTAATTGCATTTGCACTTTTTCCCCATACTGATTATCATATACGGATGAGCACACCGTTGAAACCGATGCGCTGCACAAGTAGTTTCTCAGATGATATCACTCACTCTCCGCGAAACGGACAACATCAAACGCATTCAACTGGGTTAGGTACACTTCACGATACGCGGAAGTTTAATTCGCATTAACACTTGAGAGTGAATGGTGCAATGCTTAGTTGAGCGCCATGGCTACCCGATGAGCCAGTTGCAGAAGGCAACGATAGTTTCCTCCCTTCATTGTTATTACTACTGTTCTGCGTAACAATTACCGTTCTCATTCGCGCCACTGTTTTCAATAACTACCGCAACGCTAATTATTAGGCGATGAGGTGACCTTTGAAAATGAATTAACCGTTTAATTTTCAAATGATCGTAAGTTTTTCTATCGTCGAAACGTCGGACATTTCTTGCAGCGATTTGTGCCGTTTTTCTGGCAAAAATGGAACGCACAGTAATAATGAAATATTCGAATTTAAAACAGATTAGTAAATTTTGTAGTAGTGAATGAAAAGACGATGAATTAAATTTAATATTAAATATATAGAATTGGAATCGATTTTATATTCGTACGTTTGAAATCTCTTTTATGATACAAGGCTATTAATGATGCTCTAATATTTGGAAATAATTTAAAGAAGAGCTCGTGTCCTTTTCTGAATCTTTATAATCAGTACCGTTCAAAAAATTTAATCGGTTGATCTACTTTGGAAATTCTATTAAAAAGCAAGTGGAAAATAGGTATTTAGCTGAAATACTATAGTGTTTAATAAACATAAGAAAAAGAAGTTGAAAGTGTATATTTTCTGCGAGATATTGTACTTATGAAAACAAGAAATATAATCGAAAATTATTCTCCGCCATGTAACAAAGTTCTCTAAAAGAACTGAAACAAAATTAATGGCAGCAGAAAATAGATAAGAATAACAAATAATACATTGAACGATGCATAAGTAAAATTATTTCTTGAAACAATTTTTAAATAAACATTGAATTAAAGAAATACACGTCGTGTGAAAGGGTATTTATTCAAAACAGATAAAACAATTTGCTGAGACTAACGATTAATTATTGTCTACATGAAGTATTGACAAAAATTCATTCGACTAATCATCTGCGACAGATATTTATTAGAAACAATTCATACGATGTCTAACTCTGAATGAGAGTCTTCATGTATTAACGAGTCAATGGAATAATAGTGAGTTATGGGGAAAACTAAAGTACTTAGTGATCATATATTTCTTTTAGAATAGATTGTGACACAACTGTTAATAAATACCAGAGACTATTAACCTTCATAACGATGGGCTTCTTATATAAGGAAGATGAACATATCCTTTCACACGATACTTAAATCTTACACGTGCAAATAATCTTTTCAGTATTATTTATGACATTGGCCTGACACTAATTCCAGCAATATTGATATATTTATATTACGAACAGTGATAACGCTTACAACGGAACATACCGACGTGACAATTCTGACGACACTTCGACTGAAAAGCAGTTGTTACAAAAGTATTTGACATGGATTTCTTTTTATCAACCATCGTGCATAGCGAGAGTGTAAAAACAGCTGTCAAAGTTACAGGCTGTGTTATGTTTTAATATGAAAAAACATTTTATTATATTTTGAAATGACTGAAACTTACATGGTTCGGTCGAACATTCTAAATAGTAGATATTCAGACAAAATTAAATAGAAGTAATATTCACTTAAGAAAGTGATAAAATGAAAACACTTGATTATTATATTGTAGACTAAAGTATAGAAAGGATTAATAGAATGTGAATATTTATGTAAACATAATGTATCGATTCGTGGAATCTGAAAACTGAAGCGAATTTTCTTGTGCTTCTCCCAAATTCAAAAGTATTCTTTTAAAAATGAGACTGCAACTGACACTAAAACGAAATTAAATGGAAATGACAGCTTTAGAAAAAACGAAAACACAGTTAATTCAACAATAGGTATCTACAATAAATATCCGAAGAAACAGAAAGTAATCTATTGTTACCATTTCTATAGGGATTACATATCAATCGTATTAAATGCTCGGTAGTTCTAGTGTTAATAATTGTAAAAAGAAGAAATCACGAATGGGTCATTTTGACTCGCCTGGTAGTGTTAGTGCTGAAACACGTAGAATCATGTTCTGAAAGAAGAAGCTTTCGTTTCCTGCCACGTTAAAAATTGGTCGATGTCTGCCATTGTCCTTTCTTCCAACCGCGCGATGCAACCATCGAATACCAGTTCATCCGTAACGGTGTTACGATTGCATAATCATTAAATAACGATCAAGGACGACAGACACAACTGAACCGGCTAGAAGTGATCAGAAGCGGAGCGTCTGCTTATTCACGGCTCGATATTTTATCCGATTCTATGGGGAATGTCCCCGTAAAAGGGGGCGCCGCGGGAGGAAAGAAAGAATTGCGTGAGAATCACCGTAACACTGAACTACTTACGATGCCACTGCACATTACCGTAACGCGTGACGTAAGAAATTTCTTACTTACGGTTCACTGTATTCACCGGCGACTAGATGCATCTACGATATTATGCGGCGAAACGTAAACCGCGCGAGTGCCTTTGTGCCACGTGGTCGTAACTTCTGACCTTCTTCTTCAGTTATAGGCGTTTTTATGGTTTAGCTTGTAGCGTTGCGCCTATGCTAAAGGTAATCTAACGAGAACGCGCTCGAAGCGACACAAACGTCTTCCAGTAATGATAGAAGACAACAGGTTAGAAACGGAAATGTTAATATTAATTGGGTAATTATGATATTCTTCAGAATATTGTTTATATATTATACTCATTTATATTCGTACGTTATCACGATGATAATAACATTTATATAACGTTATGTAATAATCATTTCGATTTCATTTTGTACTTTCCGAGTATAGTATATACTATATTATACTTCGTTAAATTTAACATTTCAAAAAGAGTACACTTGAAGAAATAACATAGTACTTTTTCTTTTACTATAATTGGAATTGTCTGCAGACATCTCTATATTGTATTTAGTGAAAAACTGAATCGCTATCACTACTTTTCGGAAGTCACAGTTCATTTGAATACAGGTAACTCCCGTATAACGCAGTTGTTACGTTCCTATAAAACTATCGTGTTATGTGAATCCGTGTTACACGAAACAAGGAACTAGTGCGAAAAAGGGAGTTAGGTTCCAAAAATTAGAAAAACATAATTGCCATTTCTAGAAAAAGATTAATAATAACCGAAAAATATTAATCTATGTATAATGTAGTAAAAAGAAAACACAATGTTCTAAAATGTACTGAACACTCCACGAACAAAACCAGGATTTCAGATTCTAAGAAATTTCAAAACTCTGCGGGAAAGTCTGGTACGACATACACGCTCAACTGAAAAATTTCCAATGAGATATTCCGCACACTTAAAAACTTCCGTTTCGTTCCATCTTGTACGGGAATTTATCTAATTTCGAATTTTGCTCTTGAAAACTTTAACACGGTTTGAGAATTAGAGAAATCCCCGTAGAACGGTTAGATTGAAACGGAGTTCTAGGATGCCGTGTTATATGAGGCTTTTTCCCAATTCTCAAACCGCGTTATACTGCCGTGTTATGCGGGAGTATATAGGTATACATATATCATCCTTAATTACGTAGAAACTTAATCATTCATTCACGTTTTCCCCCTAAAACAAAAGCAAAAGTTCACCTCCATTTAATCGAGTGTTCCGGATAAAATGAAATTAATTTCACTGGATTTTTCAGGCATTTCAGCTTTCGTGGCACAACCGTACAACGCCAGTATTAATTTACAAGTTACGAATCACCTGGGAATCGGCCAGCAGAATGCGCCCACAAACCGTTTCGCCTGTCCCATAGGGTTCTTCCGATTGAAAAGATACTGCTATTATTTAAGCGCAGGCACGGCACCCTGGAGGGACGCCTACTTCCATTGCAAAGACAGAAACGCCACTCTGGCGATCCTCGACAGAAACGGAAAAGACAGAATGTTGAGGAAATATCTGATGGGCGATCAGTTCAGTGAGTAATTAATCATTCTGCAGTAATATCGTTTACCTTGAGTATAATAACACCATAACGATTAAGAAACCACTTTCCATTGTAATATTTAATGCACTGCATATCGGGAATGAGAAATCTCGTTTTTATATAAATACCTGCCTACGTAACATGGCTGATTACCACACCGTTTGAGAAGCAGTCGATTTTACTGCAATCGATTATTCGTTTAAAATGTATTATTAAAGAACAATAAGACATTTGAGGTTTTTTTTGTATCACACAATCTAGTTTTCTAAAAAAAGCAGCTGATACGCAATGTGTTAATATTAAAACTACCGAGCAGTTCAACTGACTTTGATATTCCTCTATAGAAACTGCAAGAGTGCATCTGTTGAGACTTTTATTGACAGACAATTCAGTTTGCGCGTTGATAAAGCAATTCAATATCTTCCCAGAGAAACATTTGTTGTCTTTTTAGTAATTGCAAAAAGAGGAAATCAGGAATGGGTCACTTTAACTGGTCTGATAGTTTGTGTTAATAGCGATAACTAAATCGTCGTTCTTCATTTTATTTTCTACTTTTTCTAACAAATATCTGATTCCGCAGTGAATGATTCTGTATACTCCAAAGGAGGGAGTAATCCGAAAAAATAACACAGTAATCTTTAGAACATAGTAGCAATCAGCATGAGACATATTCAGCGTTAAAGAATAATAATTTTAATATCCAAAGGACTTTCTTTTTATCTCATAACAAAACTTTAAATATTTAGTTGCTTAAATGAAATCAAGAATTAAGTAGAAATTCGTTTTAATGCAAAATATTTTTCACACCATTCCTTTAATGAAACAGCATTTTTAAAATAAAGATACCAAAGCTTATTTTATTACGAATGAATATAATAAATACTACGAACCATAATAAAATATTGCAAATTACCTGTAGATAGATTTGCTAATAAGTGCGGGAGACACAAAGAATTTTATCGAATTTAGAATAAGTGAAATGTTTGAACATAATGTTCCAGCAAAACTAGAAAGATGGATCGGAGGAATATTCAACTGGCAAAAGTCAGCATGGCAATGGGGTGTGACCGGCGAGGAAATGGTTTTCCAAAATTTCGGCAGACCCCAAACCAATCAGTCGAAGCAACAATATGCATGGCATTGTATCACAATCGATCCGACCCTAAAATATAAATGGAGTCCACGAAGTTGCATCGAACGAAAGCATTTCGTTTGTGAAGTACTAGCTGGCCGCATACGTAAGATGTTATCAACTTTCCCAATACGCTTCCATGAAAACTGAATGTACCGGTTCAGAGATTCAAGAACCGTTCTATATGAAAAATAATCGCGGGAAACGAGAACGAAATATGGGAAGACGCAAACAATTCGTGACCACTTTAAAGACATTTCCTCAGTTTCAATGGGTTTATTCTGAAAACCGCTCGGATCATATGAAAACTATAAGCTTCAACTGGCTATATAAAATGTTTCATTTGAAAATACAACTTGCAATTACTGAACATATAGCAAGTTAACAAATAGTAAATAATCCATATTTCAGAGGGAGATAAAGAATCGCCGCAGTATATAATTGCGTTATATTTTTATATACTCTTTATGCATAAATTTATAACAATTTCCATCGAATGCATTTTACCCAATGCACTTTTAAGTAATTCAACGCATCTTTCACCTCTTCTCTTTTCCAATTTAATTTTCTTTCGCCGCTAAGTTAATTTGCTTTGCTGCTACGTCGCTCGCAATATTATTCTTTTAAAATATTCTTTCGCTTCTAATTTCATTTGTTTTTCTTCTCTTTCGGCTTCCACCGTACACAACAATTAACGCAGAAAATAAAATGTATCATAATGCATTCTGAATTGCTAAAATGATGTTACAATTCAAATGAAACTGTTCATATCATAGTTCTATATATTTGCTATTAATTTGCTTTTTAGACAATTCTTTCAAAGAACACTTTTTGAAGAACAGCATCAATTCTCCGGATTTCTAAAGAAACAGTCACCAAAAACTTAAACGTAATTTAATATTGTACTTGAAAGATCGATACACTTTATAAGCAAAATATAACTGAAATTAATGGGACGTGTTAACCCTTTGAACTCTGTAGGCTCCAATATTGCACCAGGAATAATATTAGATATTTTAATGAATCTTAAAGAAACTACCCTGCAATTATTAAATTTTTCACTCATCCAACTTTCGCACTAAGAAGGAAAATAAAAGATCTGAGAAATGTTATAGTATTTTTCATTTTCGAAAATTAGTTGCAGTTGCCGATAGATTACAAAACCATCTGGAGTGCTAAGGGTTAAAAAAAGATACGATGATTATAAAGTTCTCTGAAATGTGTACATTTATCCTCTATGTTAATCCGTGCCGACATGTGATACGTAAAAAATGATAAACGAAAGTGTTTCGTTTAAAATCTAGCCAGGAGACGCAAGAAGAATCCGGATCCGTACGCACCGCAAAACCAAAGATTAAAGCCAGGGAAGAAGGGCAAGAAATACCCTAAAGAGATGCGAAAGTCGCAAAAGGGCAGACAGAACAGACAGCAACAGCGGAGGAGAAGATATTGGGAGGTACAGAACGGGAACGACGATTGGTCTCACGGTGTGAAAATAGGTGCAAGGCCGCCATCCAAGTAAGATTTCTTAATAAATTCTCGTGTACAAATTGTGTGAACCGACCTCGCACAAATCGTTCAAGAACTTTTGAAAATACTAAAACTTTTTATTAACACGTCGAATGCCGTGGGGTCACCGATGGCCCCCAGCCAAATGGAATCACTATAGTTCACTCAATTAAACGGTGATTACTTGAAAACATTTCTACATTATGAATGACATTACCCAGTGCAGTGACATTCAACAAGATAAACGAGCAGTAACAATAACGCAATTCAATTCAATATTGTATCTTCTCTCATTTCGTGTATTTTTCTCCATGAAATCTTGCGATATTCAACGTGTTAACAGTTACCGATTCTCGTTATTACCTAACTCGTAATTACCTTGTAAAAATGTGAAAATAAAAAGGCACGGATATTAATTCCCTGGAAACAGTTGAAGTATTGAACCTTCTAAACTTTGTTTGGAGCAGAACTACGTGTTCAAAATTAATATTCCATTACTTTTTAAAGTGCATATTCGTTCTCTAAAAAATTCAAATCCAATGAAACTTTAGCAAACGATTTTAATGAAGTTTTGCTATAAAATACATACACAACAAAAATTCTGGAATTACTCTATGAAATGGCAGAAATAGGACAGAACTTGTTAAGAACTTTAAATCAACAGAATAAAATCAGTACAGACGATTGGCATTAATTTATAAAAGATAAGTATTAAGGAATTCGATAAGTATCAAGAGAAAGTTTGCCATTCGATTTTACTTTAATGGAAACCAGCAAGAGGTTCCTAACCTGTGAACAGTAATGTAAGAGCACAATCGTGTAAAGGTTTATTAATATTTCATGTTCTTTCAGTAACAGGGTGCGACATCATCCTAACAGGACCCAGGTGGCTTACTCTGCAGCAAAGAAACCACAGTATCCGCTTCAGGGTCTAGAGTACGGCGCATTTCTTGGCGACGGACCCAGCAACGATCCGCAAAGTTTAACACACATAAGCAGAGTTCTTTCTCCGAACACAATCAATGGTTTGGCGAGCGAAGAAGTACTCCGGAAACCGTGAACACATACTGCTAGTGACGCAATGATATTGATTTAACTCTTTATTTGGTAATTTCTCAACGGCAACATTTTGAGAGATTTCTATTTACACTGAGTTGCATATGTACAGAAACCATAAAATTCCAACTCTCGCGTCTTGTTATTAAATTTTCTGCTCGTTACATACGATGTGTGAGCGCACTGGTCGTGTTGATACGAACATATTAAAGTTTCTGAATGTTAAAATGCTACATATGAAACATTCGACTGCAGAAGAAACAGGCAAACTCCTGGCTGCTCTCGAATGTGATGCGTCTATACGAGAAATTGCTCGCAGATGTGACAGATTATGTGATATTACGATTTTGAAAAGATCAGCTAATTATAGCCATTATAAAACGGCAGATTTGACAGGAACTTCCAAAGGAACATATTTTGGATTCAGTTCCTCGTTTAACGAAATTATCATGCTGATTTTACAGATTTTACAGTATAAAAATAGTTCATTCTATTTACCAATATATAAAAATATGTATACCACATTTTTTATAACGAAAAAAAGATATTTCTGCATCTATTACGTTTTCGTGTACTATCTGGCGCTAGATTAAATTCAACTGTAATATGGAACGCAGTGTATTACTTTTATATTTTGTATTGTAAACTGTTTTTTAGACGGTTTTCTATTATTTAAATCGTAACGTTACATTCTCACGAATTTAGTTGTTTATCCTTAATTTACCAAATGAAGAGTTAACGAATTGAGAATTTCGTTCCCGTGTGAATAGTATAACGCGTTCCAGCTGTACGGATGCCATTTTAGATGACAATGAAGCCGAGCACAGACTGAAATAATTTATTCACTTAATATCTGCGAAACAGTTTCTCATGTTCCTTTCTCTGAATAGAATTTAGATTCTCAGCGATTACTGTCTAGCTAGTAATGTTACCTCAGATGTGTAGATTAATAATTTTAATACTGGTGTATCGTGTACGAAATGAAAGTTGTATCGAGAATTCGTTTCTTTTCCTGCTACTTCATTTGTATGCATGAAACCGCGAAGAATTGATATTTTAGAATGTATTTTTCGACACTGTTTCTCGCTCATTTGCTAAGTGTGCGATATTCCGAAGACATTCGCGAGAAAGACCGATAGATGATGTAAACAAATTCAAAATAAGAGTTTTCGGAGATTCTTTCTAACAACAAAAATATTTGACTTTTATTTTTGTGCCATAGAAACATATTTTTCAAGAATATATCCTTCTCGTATGAATGTCTTTGAATCTTTAATTCAAACAATGAAGTCTTTTGTATTTAATATAGACATTTCTGTCATACATTAAATAAGTGTTTAGCGTAATAATGTAATAATCATTATAGTACATCACGTACCATGAATAGTCAGCTTGCTTGAACGTCACTTACAGTGTTTCAAATATACTTAAACTTCCATGTTATCTTGAAAAAATATTGTCACACAGTGTACTTCACCACTAATGAACAATGTACTGGTTGCATATCAATATTAATCAAAGCAATGCAGAATATTATTATTTAATTTGTATTAACAGTATAGGATAAGATAATTTTAATATGTTTATTTTTTATTTTAATTTATTCATATTATGTAGGTAAGTATGATAGAATAAAACTTTTTTATCGCTAAAATATTTCATGACACACCTAAGTTAATAAGACTCTACTTTGAATTGTAAGTCAAATATTTTTATGATACTGTGCTATGCGCTTAAATATCTATGTAAATCATCTAGATTTACTTAGGAAATCAAACTGTAATTTGTGTATGCCTAACACTGTCTCAAAATAATAGAAGTTCTATCCACTATTGAAATATAATGTATCGGTTAACATTATCACTCAAAAGCACCAATAACAGTAGAGATGAACTCATTATATGATGTTATTAACAAACCATTTTACACTGTTTTGTTTGTATATATGACGAATGTCAAGTTATACTTTCTGTATTTAAAACAATGTACATTATAATAATGAAACAATGCGTGTCAAATCATTATTTTGACATATTTCTTTTGACATATGCAAAGATTGGCTCTATATTGATTATTGAAGTATACATAATAATATATGTAACTGTATATGTTTGTCGAAGTTTTTATTTTTATTTCATGCAATTTAATTAAACAAAAGGTAATTGACTCCTATTAATATACTTAATACATAAATAAATAATCACTTACCTTTAAGTAGATACAGAGAGCATCACCCTTAGGCTGTCCATTTGAATCTTTATATAACTTGATCCTATTTTTTCCCTTCTCATCTCGTGCTATGAGGCCGCATTTGCTGAAGAGTTCTGTAAGTTCCTCCATGGTGATATCCAATGGTAGACCAGACACATAAATTGCTGTATTATGTGCTTCATCGACTTCAAACCAAGTTGGTGGCTCCTGCGCTTTTCTTTTAGCTTCCAGCTTTTTCTTTTCTTTGTCAACTTTTGCAGAGTGTGCAGGCTGTTGTACAGGATTTGATGTTGTTCCACCTGGTTCCGTGAATCCATAACTCATCTGATACCTAGCCATAAAATCTTCATCCACCTATAATAACATAATTTGCAAATACATATATCAAACTTACAAATGAAAATAATGGTACTAAAAAGAAGTTTTATCACATTTAAATGAGATAAAAATATTAAGAACACACCTCACCTTTGGGAACCAAGCATTTTTCTCTTTGTCCCAAAAGTACATACTACCATCATTAGGGTCTGTGTACGTATGGGTATCATTTTCAAAACCAAATATTCCTTCTTGCGCCTTAACTGTGTCAGTATTGGAATCTTCAACTGTTTCACTGGTTTCTTTTACTATCCACTCATTTTTCTCTTGGTCAAACCTATATACCACATTAGTAGTAGGATCCTGATATATATAAGATTGACCATCAAATTTGTATTGTGCCATAGTATCATCAACTTTCTTTGATTCTTGACAATCAGCCATTTTGACTGTCAATAATATTGCATTTGAAAAATATTACTGTATAGTTTGTGGAACACCTGTTGAACATCCAATTGATAAGAATTATTAATCTAAATGACAACTAAAATATGAATTAATATATGTTATAAACTATTAGATATTCGTTAGACAAGTAACATAAAAAGTGTAAATAATAACCACACTTTATTTAATAGTAATAAAATATTAAACTATATGGATAATTTGGAATATACTGTTAAAGTGCCAAAATCTTATTCTAACCTATAAATACTAATAAACATTATGATACATTTTATAAAGAAGTTAATTTTGAATCGCATGCATTTCAAGAAGAAGGACTATACATTTAACATTAATTAAACTTTGCACAACAAAACATTTTTGATCCAAAACTCCACAATATCAACTAATAAAATGATTATACAGGTTATGTGCAACACTAGAAAACAAATAACATATACTAACTATTTTTAAAGTTCATAATTTAAATATATTCCGTCTATAACAAATGAGAATTATATAAAATAGTTAATTCGTAATACTAAGATTTTTCTCGGATAACATAAACATTATATTAAAATAAATAAACGTTTGCCTTTTAGGTTAGATATATATCGCATACGAAAATATAACGTTATCAACGAACATACCACTTAAGATTACGTTATTCCGACACGATATAACTAACACATGTAAGAATTAATTTCATTATCACAAATTTTAATTTTACTGAGAAAAATATGCATTCGTTTACAAAATTTGACAGCAACACCGTAATAAACACGCTTCGTACACGTTTACGATACCAATGCGCTCTGTACAAGTTTCTAGAACCTCCTTTAGTTCCATGCCGATAAAGGATGCAGTAATCGATGTTTTAAAAATCTATATTCTGCGCTATTTTCCACAAAGAATTGATCTTAAAATTATATTTAAAAGAAAAATGTGTATTCACATTCATATAAAATTTTACAAAATTCTTTATTAACATTTAACGTAAGTTTAATTAAATATTAATTCATCTATAAACAATAATTTTTGAATATTTTAAATATGAAGGAATAATAAATAAATAAAAGTTATTCAATGTTTACTTTCATTCACTTTAAGAATCACTTCACTTTAAGAAACACTGATTCAAGCATGTAAAATACTAAAGAAGTAGTACATATACACATATACACCTATGTACTTAGTACCTTAAAATATTTTGTTAATTTATAGATTGAACAGCACTGTCAAAAACTATTTTAAATTAACAGAACATAAACGCAGCTGTCAAGCAGAGTTATCACTCGCTTAAAAATTTCTATTAAACATTGAAGTATAATAAAGATAAATGGAATTATCTACATGACAATTTTTATATCGACTATCTTTCAAATCTTTAGTCGTTTCATCAGAAATGTAAATAACTGCACATAATCACTTTTGTATTATCATTAACATGACTCATAAGAACAGAATCTTTAAAAGATCAATACAAAATCCCATCATTTATCACCTTCTTCCACCCCCTTTTCAGAAATTCCTAAACAATCGATAAACTTAAAATGACTCTTTTCCACTTCCTCATTGGATACCATAAAAGAGCCTTCGTTACTCTATGTCATCAACATGCAGCAAAATTAACATCAAAAGAAACCAACAATTGTCAACAAACAAGAACCGAAGATGCTAACGAAAGGAGCAACCAACCGATTCTCTAAAAAAGGAAACATTCGTTCGAATGTCATGATTGATGCAACGCTGCGCTTGAATATTGGACGACACCCGGAAGTAGCGGCACGCGAAGGGACACAACAGACAACGATGCATTGTTTTTAATTTTCACGTGAGACACACTAGCGGCGAACGATCGCTCCCATTCTTATCGTTAGAACACACACGTTCGGTGTGGTTGCCATTGGAAATTGATTTCCAGTTGCCTGGCAACGTTGAGTTTAAGTTGCCACCAGGATAGCCATGCCTGACCGGTAGTTAGTCGGCTGCAAGTTTCGCAGCGCAAGGTGTAAGCATGGGCTTGTCGGAACTAGAGACGATACCCGGTAAACCTTTTACGAAAACGCACTCTGTACTTGCACGCGACTCAACGCACTCATTGCAACTTTCCGCACAATCGACACCCTGCTTTAACATCGGTCACACTTTTTTTCTTTACTTTACTCGATCGGACACTATTGTTTTTACACGACGCGACGCCGGCGAGCCGGCGTTAGAGTGATCTATAGGCTGCTTCTGTTTACAAATTTACAGAATTAGAGATTAGTGTGTATACAGACATGTTTATAAGGGAAAAAATTGTTCTCCGTATTGATGGCTTTATTAGATCACTTACCTTACGATCTTTATGACAGCTACGCTATCGAAAGGTACTTTATTGCCATTAATTTGAAATTTATTCTTGCTCTTTAAATTGAGAAATAAATTTTTGAAAATTTTCTTCTCATATTTTATTACATACTGCAATTATCGCGTTTTTAATAACGATATCTTTGGGTACTAAAAGTACTTCGATTTTCATTTGAAACGATAATTTGGTGAAAGATTCATTCATCCGTTTTGTGTTCTTGCAATAAGCAGTTATTCTATGGAAATTATGATATTTAGTTAATTTAAAATTCTGAAATTTCTTTTTCAAGAATTACACGAATATTTACGAGCGACTGACCAATATATGCATAAATCTTCAAGCTCATTAAAGCCACTTCTTTCATTCAGAATTATTATCTGAAAATCAGTAAGGAATACTTAAGTTATTTAAAGTCCAAATAACATATCACTGCTTCAATTGACTTACACTTTACCAATTTCGAGACATCTTTCGTCGTGTACATTAAAATTCAAAAATTTTATGATGTCTTGAAAATGTTGACATAGACAGCAGTTTTTGTTTAAAATATTAAGACCATTCTTAAGGACTCGATGTACAGTAAGATATAAAACATTAAGATTAGGTTCTTTCATTATTTTATTGGAGTATTTCGACGTATTGCGGCAGTGTTTACGATTTCCTGTTTGGTACAATTAATTTTTCCTTTGATCTACTTTTGTTTATATCACGATCGGCTGAATTATTTGAACTTGAAATATGTTTAATTGACTTATACGTACAATACAGATGAAAATCTAAAAACCTAACACCACTGGCTTACCGAAGTTGACGCCAAATATATTCAACATTTCATAATTACAATGATTAGTACAATTGATGCAATTAGCACATAAGTACAATTGATTTTCTTCATACATACTAAAAAATCGATAATATTTTACATTTAAATAATATATATATTGCTAGAAAATTAAATATTTTATATTTAAATTATATATATATATATATATATATATATATATATATATATATATTTAAATTACAAAATACTTACTTAATCAATAAAGTACATTTAATTACGCAGCATTGTTCCGTAGACTCGGATTTGAGGAAATTACTACATAATATCGAATTACATTTTTATTACAGTAGACTTTATTAACTTTAGAAAGAAGGTAAAAGAAAATCGGAGTAGATCCAATTTGAATGTATATAAAAAATTTTCTTTTCACATAAACATTAAAACCTACTAAAGTATACACATATTAATTTAAATTAATTCTCAAGACTGAGCACAAGTTTCGAAAAATTTAAAGAGTTTATAAAAGCTCCATGTGTACGTAGTTGGAGAATATTAATTGTTAAACACAACGAATATTATTTCAAACGAAACATAATACTCGATAGAAATTTTTACAGATGTTTAACCTTTCATATTCAGTCAATTGTATTACTGAGTTTTTACTGTTTCCCTGCATTCGATTCCATTTAACTTTAATATTATGTTAGTTGTATATTATAAAAACGCGAAAAATATTATTAATAATCTTCTCTTTAAATGAAAAATATTTTTGTACACGCATATATACACAAAATATATGTAATAATTTACTAATACGTCGTTGAAGTTCACAACATTTTATATGACGTCTAATAAATGAAAATATTGCTACATAATAAATGTTAATATTAGAATAATAAAACATTTGTTTACGATAAAAGTATAATTTATTGAATACATCATTAAATAAGAAAATTACTTTTGAAGTAACATCATAAAGTTAATTAATTAATCTTTGCAGACCTATTCATTGGTGATTGAGATTACACGCATCTGCCAAATTATTTAGTGCTCGTAGGTTGATCGTGTTGCACGCAATATCTGTGCTATCCGTAAATTAATAATTAAGAGTCTCATAAACTCTATGATTATGTACTGTATGAAGTAACCGTAATACAGACGTTATGGGCGAATGTTGGTCACACGTCAGAAGAAATAGATTTATCTATTATCATACCCGCGGCATCTATTTTTACGAATATGTGGGTTGCAGTTCACATCCGCAGAAAGTCGTACTTCGGCGCGATTACGCCGTAAATTGTGCCCATTGGTGTGAAAGTAATTGAACGAATTATTGCTTCCAGGGAAAACGGGGTCGGCGGAAGCATAAATTCTGTACTTGCCAATTATTAAAGAACTCACCGTTTGGATATGTTTGTTATTTATTCGCAGTGCAATTTTATGAGAAGCAACTTTCGTATTATTTAAAGCATCCTTTATCGTCATCTTATAACTGCGCTGATTAAACTTTTAATGGACACCTGAAACGTTTAATTTTAAAGTAAATATACTTAGTCAAATTAATTATTTCTCAAGAAAGCAAGATACCTACGAAAATATTATTAACGATATTAATCGTGAATTCTTAAGTTATAGAATAAGAACTTAAATTCAGTAGGCTATTTGTAGTGAATGTAAAACAATAATGTTAATTTACATTACTTTGTAAACAGATATTCTACAAAGAAGCGTTTCTACTCGATTATAAATAATATTTAGAGTAACGATGAACTATCATGAATAAAATAGTATTACTGAATGGTCAGTATTGGAATTATAAGCGCAGGAACAATGGAAATATTGCATTGTTTATTTACGTACCGGTGAATTAAATATTTGAATCGATCTAGCCGTTAGTCGTATACATTTTAATCTGTTTTCATGGCTAGTAAACGATGTGTACCCGGGTTAACGACCCGACGCAGTTCCAGCGGGTACAAAATGGGCGCATCGATGATATCGGCACAGCGAATTTACCATCTCGCATGTCGCGTCTCGAAATAAAGACACATTCCACATTACGAGATATGAACTAATAATTTTGATCATTTTCTACCATGTTTTACAATATAAATGTACGCTATATATTCGTAGATACAAAAATTGAAATGAAACTAATT